TTTTGCTCCATTAGGGAGATCTACTAAACTCCATGTTTTGTTCTGGCTTTAGTGAACGAATTTCTGCATCACAAGCATCTCTCCAAGCTTTTAGTTCCTTAGCTTCTTTAAAACTCCAAGGTTCTTCATTCATTGATAACAACAATCGCTGAACTTCTTCATACTCAACTTCAGCCATTAGAACATAATCGTTTAAGTAGCCTGGTTTATTGCTCTGTCTCCCAGATCTTCTTAAAGTTGGTTGTGTTTGGCCTTGGTCTTGATTTTCAGTATCTTCTATATTGTTGTTGTCTGAAGCTTCATCCTCATTACTAGGATTTTCATCATCATTCTCATCTTCTGTTCTGTTTTCTACTGCTTCCTGATTCTCTTCTCTTAAACCATGGTTTCCAAATTCTCCAAGACTGAATTTGAACATTCCAGAAGCATTATTACTCTCATCTTCTCCTGAATGTCTCCAGTTCCAATTACTTTTCTCGTCAAAAACCACATCCCTACTTACCACAATTCTTCTTTTTGTTGGATCTAAAAGTCGATAAGCTTTGGATCCTGGTTCTGTTCCCAGGTGTACTAGAGCTTTTGACCTGTCATCAAGCTTTTTAAGATGCTGAGAATCAATTTTTGCATAACATATGCACCCAAATACTCGTAGGTGTGATATGTTTGGTTTTTTTCCTTTAAATACTTCATAAGGAGTCTGTGTTACCAGAGTTCTTGTTCCGACTCTATTAATGAGATAAGTAGCATGTCTCACAGCTTCTCCCCATAGATAGTCTGGTACTTTCATATGCTTTAGGATACTCCTGGTCATTTCAAGCAAAGTTCTATTTCTTCTTTCCACTACCCCGTTCTGTTGTGGTGAGTATGGGGCTGTTAAGTGTCTCTGAATCCCTGAATTGTCACAAAAGGACTGAAATTCTTGAGAAGTAAATTCTCCACCCCTGTCAGTTCTGAATGTTCCTATTTTGGTTCCAGTTTCCTGTTCTACTAATGCTTTGAACTTCTTAAACTTTTCAAATGTTTCACTTTTTTCTTTCAATAGTAGTGACCACATATATCGAGAATAGTCATCGATTAATACAAAAATGTATTTGTTTTGTGCAGCCGTGGAAGGTGTGATTGGACCACACAAGTCTCCATGTATCAGCTCTAGTAAGTGTGATGCTCGATATGATGTGGCTTGAGGGAATGCTTGTCTTACCTGTTTTCCAAGCAAACAGGAGGAACATGTTTCCTTTTCAATTTGAATGTTTGGTAATCCAATGACTAGCTCCTTGTTTATCATGGATTTCATAGTATCTAGTCCTATATGTCCTAATCTTGCATGCCACTTTGCAGAATCATTTATTTCTTCTAGTTGTAGGCATCTTGAAGGTTCTACTTCCATTAGGACTTTGTACAATCTGTTTTTTGATCTATTAGCTTTTACCAGTAGCCTGCCTTGTTTATCATACACTGTCAATTGCTCACCTTTCATCCTAATATCACAGCCTGCCTCTGTGGCTTGTCCAAGACTTATGATACTGCTTCTTAAATCTGGTATGTAATAGACATCAGCAAGAATTTTCTTTTCTCCATCTTTACTTACAAACAGAATTGAGCCTTTCCCTTTAATGTCAATGCGAGAATCATCTCCAAATCTCACTTTTCCTGTAATGGTTTCATCAAGTTTAGAGAAGTAGGCTCTGTTTCCTGTCATATGATTACTTGCTCCATTGTCCAAGTACCAGACGTTTTCACCTTCTGTTTGTCTTTCGAATTGGTTTGGTTTTACATTCTTCTCGTTTAGATAGACTATTTCATGCATCATTAGCCTATCTGCTTCTTGAGTTTCTTCTTCATCATTCTCAAGTGTTTCTTGAAGTTTTAGTAATCTGTCAGGACAATTTGAAGCATAATGTCCATTCTTATCGCATCTATAACATATTACTTTTGACTTATCTTTTCCTTGTCTAAAAGAGCCATTCTGTTGGGTGCCAAAACGACCTCGTCCTCTCCCTCTGAAATTTGAACCTCGGCCTCTTCCTGAACCATAGCTTTCTTGATAGGTTTGTGAGTCTGAGTTAAGATACATGAGTTTTCCTTGGTCTTCATGCTGATCCTCTTCATCACAAACTCTGTCTTCATATACTTTTAGTCTACCAACTATTTCCTCAAAACTTGTTTTCTTTAAATCAAGTACTTGTTCAAGAGAAGCAACTATGTGTATATATTTCTTTCTAGGTACACTTTTGAGAAATTTCTTGACAAGTTTTGGTTCCTCAATACTTTCTCCTAACGCAACTGATTTTGTTGCTATTTCAGAGAGTTTCCCTGCAAACTCATC